AAAAGACTCATGGCTGTATTAGCTCAAAAGGGTGCTTCTACTAAATACTGAGCAAAGGGTCTGAATACTTATGACCATGTGATATTTCAGTTTTTCTTTTTTAATAAATCTGCAAAAATGTCAAATTCAGTGTTTTTCTGTCAATATGGGGTGCTGTGTGTACATTAATGAGGAAAAAAATGAACTTAAATGATTTTAGCATATGGCTGCAATATAACAAAGAGTGAAAAATTTAAGGGGGTCTGAATACTTTCTGTACTCACTGTATATAATGAAAACACAGCACTTCTAAACAGAGTCTACAACTCTGTTTTTAACACCTGCGGCAGAATGACGAGTACCTTAAAGGTACATGTAGCATTCCAAACCAGCAATAGCTCTCTGACACGAGTGTGATACAAGGATGCTTCGTTTGGGATGGTCACATGATTTTAAGGTGATGCATCAAAACATGTTGTTGTGACACTTCTGCTGAGAAGCGGACATGGGGTCGAGTTGTCTGTTTCCCGCCCAACCGCTGAGATTCAATAAAAACAATTGGAATGTTACAAGAAATTACAAATTGATTAACTTTTTTCCTTGTATAATTAAGACTTAGTTGTGAAACATAACAGGTAGGTGTTAGGTATAAGGGTTAGGGATCGACTTTAGCGCTTATGTTTTTTTTTTGTTTTTTGTTTTTTTACCTGTCATGATGACATGAGGAGGTGGAGCCAGGTGGTCCGATCAGCTCGTTGCCAACAGTGATAACCAGGTTGCGGTCGAGGGGGACTGCCCCATGTGGTGACAGAGACGTCTGCACAAATGTCATCACAAACAAAGTGGCACAGTTTTACAAATCTTGCAGAACAAAATGGTCACACTGACATGAAGCAGAGTTTCACACCTGTCGATTCTTCTGGTTCATTATTTAAATCCTCCTCACATTGTTTACATTTCTCCCACTCAGACCTGCGGGGTGTCCAAAACACTGATGCACTGTGTTCACAAATGAAAACATTGCTATTCTAGAATTAAGCGTGCCATCACCCGCCACACTGCAGTATTGATCTCACATGTATTTACAGTCTATTTGTTACCCCACACCTTGTTTTGTGCAGAGCAGCTTCACTGACTTTCAAACATGTTCTGTATTTTACATCTTAAGAGTAGTTTTTGGCTGATTTCCTGTGTGGCCCTCCACCACATCAGCGTGTCCAGGTAAAGAGCAAAGGCCCAGGGTGATCGGTGACCAATCTTGGTCTAGCAATAGCACTTTGTAACATTTGTTTCTGATAAAATGCTATATAAATAAAATTGCTATTGCCATAAACACAGTAGTGCTGAAACTACCAGTCCATACTTACGAATCACTTAGTCAATAAAAATAACTCTGGTGTCAGATTCTCAGCTGCTCTGATTTCTATCACAGTGAACTGCATCTCTTTAGACAAAACATGAAATGTGAAGACTTGGACTGACCAACTTTGATGGACTTCTTTTAAACATTTTGTCTATCTTTCTGTAAACCAGTTAAATCATTTGACAAAAGAAACGGTCTCGGAGGTAGATATCGCCACCCCTCATTAGATAAAACCACCACTGTCTGCAAGACTCAAGATGAGGCCTGTAAATATTTTGTTGATTAATTAATTGTTCAGTCTAAAAAGTCAGGAAATGGTGAAAAATGTGCAAAGCGACATTTTAAGTGTGTCATTTAGTCCAGTGGTCCCCAACCTTTTTATCACTGCGGACCGGTCAACGCTTGACAATTTTACCGCGGCCCGGGGGGGGGGGGGGGTCG